AATCTCTAACTTCAGTTCAAAAAAAAAAAAAAAAAAACAAATGGAAATCGAAAGAAATTCCAAATTAAAAGAGGGGGATCAAAATAGCATACAAATTTGTGGAGAGAGGGAGAAGCGGAGGAGAAATGGTTTTGAAGGAGGGAATTGATGGAGAAAACTGCTTCCTTGAACTATTGTTTCTTCCCGAGCTGCATCTGCAACTCCTCCAATCGCTGCTACAAGCTTTCCTTAGAAGAAGACGACATTTTCCCTGCTTCTTTTTGCCCCTTCTTTTTGCCTCGTTCTATTATGTTCTCTTAATCTAGGAGTAAGATTTTTTTTGACTTTTTTGGGTTGATGGAGCTTAATAAGAAAACAAAGCACTTACCATCCTTCGAAGAAGTAAGGGTTACCATCGATGAAGATGATGAATTGCGACAGTAGAATGGGATGAAAATACTGGGTGCTGGGTATTAAGTCGATGGCATGGGATTGCGTTTGAAAAATTGAAGGAAGTAGAGTTGTCGATGGAGATGGGAGGCGACGAGATGGAGATGGAGATGATTGCAGAAGGGATGAGGAGGAGCTGGGGATTCAGGAAACGACGTCGTTTTGGTTGGGACTCCAATTTTTTTTGGGAGGCAGGACTAACGCACACTTTACTGTATATATATATATATATTTTAACATTTTAATATCTAGAAATAATATTAGACAATAAGTAATTTGGAATCGAATCTTATTAGACTTTATAAAAGAAAGCTCTCTAATGTTTATTTTTCTATTCGTAACACTCGAACTCAAATCCTTACTCAAGGGGAATCAAGCTTCTTCCATTCGAATTAGCAAGTTGTTAGTTCTATTTCTCTTTATTCTCCTTCTCTGTTTCCTCCTTATTTAGATAAACAACTATATTAAAAAAAAAATTCTTCTCCTTTATAATTTTTTTAATAATTAAATAGAGAATTTTTTTCTCCTCTCTCCTTCATTTTTCACAATCTAAATATACAGTAAGTGTCAAAACTTAGCAGTTAGTTAGCAAACAAAGGTAGATCGTAGTGGCTACAACAGTCAATAAAGTGGATTGCGGGTGCATAAGGTTAAAGGCAGAGGGGCGACTGTTGGTGGCTACACTTGTTGCTGTGGTGGGGTGGCAACAATTTAGGGTTTCTTAATTCAAACTCGTTTAGTTCGAAAGAATACAAGAGTCGATTGAGGTATTCACTTGATTGTTGGCATTACATCTACCTTAGTTTTTAAGTGGATTATATAGTCTTATGCTTTAGTTTAAGTTTGGGTTGTTTATCTTAGAATAAACAAATATTTAAAAGGATCTAATAGTAAATAATTTTATGTTGATTTACTTTTCCCCTATTAATGTGTTATGGTCAATTACTAAATGAAAAATGCATTACTATTTTCCCATGATAAAGAATAGCTTAAATTTTGGACAATAAGTTTGGTCATGTCGAGTCCTACACTTCTGTGAAAAATAATATAATTTTTTATAAAGTATAAGTGATTACTAAAGTTCAATTATAAGCATATGGGGTGGCTATCGAAAAGCTCTAATAATGTTTTTTCTCTCTAGGTTTGAGAGTGGCTTTCTTCTCCTAGTGTTGGGAGTCAAACAATCCTTGTTCCTCTAGTTTTCACTCAAAAACTCTTGTTTACGACCAAAGCAAATCCTGACATCGATGACTAAACCAAGCATCAAAGATCTTATGGTGGCTCTTGGAGGCAAGTTGTCACTAACGGCTGAGGAAGATGTTGGGCTAGATCTCGACACTGACAAGCAGAACAATCAGCTAATAGGGATGGCTAAGTGGTGTTTGGTCAACATGCTCTTGACAAGGAGTCGATACAATTTGGAAGCACTAAAGAATACGCTAGCTAGTGTATGCTAGCATGTAAAAGGCATGCACATTTGGATCTTGGGTAAAAATCTGTTTGCCTTCTATTTCTTTCATCCAGTAAACATGTAGCAGGTTTTGGTAGAAGGACCTTGGCATTTTGTCAATCATACCATGGTCTTGAAGGAGGCACATGGAGGTAGATAGGTGACAAAGGAAGAACTGTTTGAAGTCTCATTTTGGGTTCAAATTCATGGTTTACCATCGGACCTTCTAACAGCAGAAACAGGGCTACCAATCGGTGTTGGGATAAGCCGACTTATTGATGTTAACGCAAGAGATAGGGATACATGAGGCTTTGAGTTTATCCAAGTAAGAATGGGCATTGATACTAGGAAGCCGCTTTGAATGGGGATGAGACTCTCACTAAAAGAGGATCGATTTGGGTGTCTTTTCAATATGAACACCTCTAGAATTTCTGTTATTATTGTGGCAAGTTAGATGATGTAAATTGAGACTATGAGTTAGGACTGCAGATGTACATGGTAGGAACAATGAGTCATCCATGTGACAATACACTTCGAGCAATATCTTAACGAGCACAACTAGCTAAGTCTACTAGCACTGGAAAGTGGCTTAGAGAGAGCTCTGATAATTATGTGGTAGAGAAGGCACGATAGAGGCAAGCAAGGCCAAACATGGAAAGCCCCCACATGCATGTGATTCTCAAGAATCTCACAAAAGGGGAAAGAGTCATGATCAATGGGTTGAAGGAACACGTATGGGAGCAAATCTTGGAGGAGAAAGTCACAAATTGAATTCATTGGAACTTAATGTAGAGAATGTGATCCACAATTTTAGCTTGAGATTGAAAGCCTCATCGATGGAAGGTGATATACATAAGAAAGTAAATGATATCACAAGAGCAATGAGACTAATGAGATTACGAGGAAATTGGTGGAGAAAGCTTTTAGCAGGAAAACATACAAAAAATTTCAAATCCACAA